GTGGCCCGAGCAGGGCCCCCTCCCCGGCTCACCCCTGGGTGGAGGGAGAGCAGGGCTGACGCCTCCTGGCCTGGCCTAGTAGTGGCCTCACTGGGTCTCCTCGCCCCCCGCCCAGATCCAGGCCGGAGCCCTGACCGCCTGTCCAGGGTCCGAGGCCCAGGGCCACCTATCCCTCCATGTCCCAGCAGCCGTCACTGCGGCCCATCTCTCCCCAGACCCTGGGTCCTCCACAGGGACCCCAAGACGGGCCAGCATAGGGGTTCCACTCCCAGAGGCCATCTGGGGTGGGGCTGAAAAGGCTGGTCTGGGGGCTCTGAGGGGGGCGGGGAGGAAGCACCTCTAAGCAGAGGGGATGGCGTCAGAGGCCCTGAGACGGGAGGAGGGCAGGCCAGGATGAGGCTGGAGTGGGGCCCTGGGGACCCAGCACCCCGAGCAAGCCCAGGCGGACCCCCAGGGGCAGGAGCAGAGCCTGGCGCCCCTGGGTCTGCACCCCGTGGGGACGCTGGACCCACATCCCCTCCTGTCGAAGGTCACCAGCAAGGGGCTGCAGTGTCGGGGTCTGTCCCGGCCCCGGCCAGCGGCCACAAACGGGGGTGCTGGCATCCAGGGCAGGGAGCGGCCCAGGATGTGCCGCTTTCACCAGGTCCTACCTGCAGGGAGGGCTCCCAGGAAGTGTGCGGCCTGGGGGCCTCCAGCCACAGCCCCCACCTGCCCACCTGCCCACCTGCCCGAGTCCTGGCTCTCTGGGGAGGGGAGGGTGGGGGCTCGGCCAGCTTCCTCCACCCATCAGTGCCTCGAGAATGAACGGAATGCTCATGACCTCAGTGGGTGAGCCGAGTATTTGTTTAATGGGATTCCTGGAGGGCTGAGCCAAGGGCACTGGGCACATGTGCCCAGGTACACACACACCTCGGTGAAACTGGGCCTGCGGGCACACTCAGACACGCACAGGCTGACATGGGGCCCCTCCCCTCGGAGAGCCCAGGCTGGGAGCCAGTGGCCTTCAGCTCCCGGGCAGGCGGGGTGGGGAGCATCAGGCCCAGAGGGAGGTGGTCCAGCCCCTGGCATCTGCGTCCCGTGGGGGACAAGACAAGGAGGCTTCTTCCGCTGACGGGGCCGGGGCACTGGGCCACCCAGGGGCCCACCGGGCCAGGCTGCACTTTGGTTTTACTGCGGTCATTTTCCGGGTGCAAAGGGAGAGCCGACCCTGGTGCCCGGTCACACAGGGCAGGGGGAGGAGGCCCCAGCAGGGCAGGGAGGGTGGAGGGACTGGATCCAGGTTCAAATTCCAGCCCCGTAGCCGGGTGACCTTGGGGAGGAGTCAGCTGAAGGCCCAGGGGGAGCCAGGTGGGGCCCTGGCCGTGCAGGTGGGAGCTGCGGGTGGGAGCTGCGGGCAAGGAGGG